GCTCGCGCTGTCCCAAGCAGATCCGCGACGCCATCGCGCTGCTGCGGCTGGACGACCTGTATGTGGAGTGCTTTGAGGTGAAGGACGTCAAGACGCTGCGCGGGGAGCACCTGTCGCGCTGCATCGGGCGGCTGGCGGGCAAGGTGGGCGGGCGGCCGGCCGGCGGGGCAGGGGGGAAAGGGAGGGTCGACGGCAGCTTTGGGGGTCTGGGGCCGAGAGTGTGACTTTATGTGAGCTGCATGGCCTGCCTGGAGGCAGCAACGCCGCCCCTCGAGTTGGGGGGGGGGCACAGCTGCGGAGTGGATAGGGACAAGAGGGGCGCGGCTGGCCACGTTGCCAACATGTGTGGCGGCCAGCCATTGCAGCTGCCCAACCAGGTGGCCTGCAGCCGCAGCACCCTGCTCTTGTAGTTGTTATCTGCTACTTCTTGGGACCTCTACCAGCTTTCCCAACACGTCTGTCTCGGCCATCTCCATCCACTCATCAATAAACTCGATCAACACCCTGTTTCTCCCAACACAACCCCCCCAGAGCGGCAAGACCAAGTTCACAATAGAGAACGCCACCCGCACGCGCATCGTGCTGGCCGACACGCGCATCCACATCCTTGGCAGCTTCCAGAACATCAGGGTGGCGCGCGACGCTATCTGCAGCCTCATCCTGGGGTCGCCGCCGGGCAAGGTGTACTCAAAGCTGCGGTCGGTGTGCTCGCGGCTGAACGACAGCTAATCCCTCTCCCAATTTCATTTCTTGCTCCTCTGTGTTTCTTGCTCCTCTGTGTTTCTTGCTCCTCTGTGTTTCTTGCTCCTCTGTGTTTCAGACTTTGCACCCCAGCGGCTGGCCATGTTGACTTGTGTCTATTAGCATGCCCGCCACAAGCAGGCCGCGGCAGATTCAGGGACGGCGTCGCACGGTGGATTGCTTGTGTCGTTGGTGCAGCAGCTTGCGGCCTGTCACCACCAGGCCGGGTCACCGGTGCCAGCGCACAAGTTGCGGTTCTGTGTGACGCCTTGAGGCTATCCCACCACCAACGCACTCAAGAGCGGCCTGTAACATTCGCATTTGACAACGCGGGACACTTGAAACAGCAGATTTGGCTTCCTGTCAAGACATGTTGCACGCAGTCTGCACGCAGTCACGGGTCAAACACTGGTGTGATCGGGGATGCGAGCAGTGTGATCGGGAAGGCAAGGCGTGCTGTTACGGTAAGGAGCAACAATCCCTTGTTACCGGTACGCCCATTCAGCCTGGTTATAAGTTTCCCACAGTTGACATTGATTCGCAACCGCCCGTGTTGGAGCCGCGAGATCTCTATGATACATACAGAGTCGACACATCACGATGCCACTCCTGGAGATGGCGCCACCTGTTCTGCAAATGATTGTTTCCCACTGCGACACCAGCGCCTGCTGCCGCTTGTCGGCGACGTGCCGTCGCCTGCGTGCCTGTGTGCTGCCGACGCCACCCGCTGCAGGGCTCCGGGCGACGGTTTGTGGCGCCGCAAGCTGTAGTTGCCAGCATGATAGCATCTACCTGCCAGGCGCAGGCGAGTATTGAGGCAGTGGTGAATCGATCTTTTCAACAGGAGGGGGCGTGCTGTCGCGCAGGGCCTGCCTCACGGCAGCCCCCCCCCCCCCACTACCACTACCATCACCGCCCCCCGGCGGTGTCGCAGGAGGCCAATCGACATGGCTGCTGGTGTTCCCGCGGCGGATGGAAGGCTTGGCGCTGGCTTTTCTGGATTCCATGTGCTCCCAGGTCGGTTCCACGTCCCAGTTCGAGGCTGCAGAGGGGAAGGATAGCCTGGATGCGGCCATAGCCCGCCGCCCTCCCGCTCTGCAAACGACACCCATTCTGGCTGGTTTATGCGCAAGCAGCACGTGCCATGCGCCATCCACAGGTTGAGATTATGTATGGACGGAGGCTTGCGCCGCCGGTGGTCCTGCGCTTGTGCAATTTCACTGAGGCGGACCATTTGGTGGAGCAATGCCTGCCCAGCTTCCAGGCCGTCAAGCTTGTTATCGGCCTTGACCGCCCCGACGGCTTGCAGGTGAGCCAAGTGGTCGGTAGCCTCCAGGCCGTGTCTCACCGCAGCAGCCACGCTGGGCGCAGCCCGCCGTGGCTGCAGGGGCAGCGGGCGCTTGCAGGGCCCAGGCGGGCTGTTGTGGGGCGCTGCACAGGCCCGCGACACCCCTCGACCATTGCTAGGCCAACCCCCGGCGTGCGCTGCGCTCGACCCTGCCGCCTCCCCCCAGGGCGTGCTGCGCGCGCAAGGCGTGAACGCCGCGCTGGTGTCGATCACATCCCGCCACGCCCTGCGGATGCCGGCGCGTCGCTATGCGGCCCACGTGCTGTTGCCAAGGCTGCAGGGCGATGGGCTGCTGCAGCACGTGCTGGCTGGTTGAAACAACAGCCGCGCTCGGCCACTTGTCGTGTTCGTTGCCGCTGTTGTTGCTGGGGATACAATCAATTATATTCATGCTGGTGCCATGGCAGGACCGTTTGTTGATGTGGGGACGCTGGTGTCAAGAAGAAATTGTGCACGCTACCTCATCGGTTGTAAACATGCCCACGATGCTCAGGTACGCCATGCTGGCTGGCAGAACTAGTGCGTTCTTGCATTGTTCCTTCGCCATCATCGGAGACTCGTGAGATGAAGTTGCGCCAGCCCGCGGCAGGTTCATGGCGGTTGTGGTTGAGGCTGTGCAAGCTCGAATCCCGGCAGCATCTTCACCACCCAGCGTACGCTTGCAGGTTGCTGCAAATTTGTTTTCAACGCCTGTGCCGGAGTGCCTGTATGAAACGCCTCATGCCTCACATGCCGGCAACCACAGGCAAGCGTTGCATTTTGCGGCCCCAGCCCATGAATTCCATGCATCCCGAGATCGAGGCGTAAACGCATTGCATGGAGTTGATAGTTGGTATGAATGTGGTCCAGGCCAGGCCTGCGCATCGCTGCAGGCATTGATGAATGGATTGGCACCCCGCACCCACCATGTCCGGCACAATCACCACTGCAGTCAGCGCCACTCAAAGCCGACGACACAGATTATGAAACCTTCGTGTCACAGTTCAAGCGCAATGTGAGTCAGGTAGGCTACTGTCGCAAGTAGGCCAGTGTTCCGCCAAGCGCCGACGTCAGGCGGAACTGCTACAAGCAGGTTGGATTGTACTGTGCCTGGGGCCATGGACCTGGCCTGAGCCTGGCATGGACGCGGCAGGTAATAGATGAGAGTTGTTATCACGGCCGACTTTGGTAGGCAGAGCTCCATGATAGTGGTCGGAGCCTGTCGGCGACCAGCACTCGGCGCTCAGATCACTCGGAACAGTTGATCACAGGTGGGTGTGTATCTGCCCATCACTTCTTCGCAGGAAAGATACCGGTACACGCCCACTTGTACGACATCAAAATCCAAGATTTCACTTCTGCTGGCCGCCATCCCTTCGCGCCTTCCATTCTACACTCCCATAGCCATCACTGTGCTATCCGATCCGCTCGACCATTGCATCTGGTCTGATGTACGCGGCTATCGTCAAGCAAGGGGCGCAGGGTGCTGCAGCCAGCACGCCAGGTGAGCAGACCATGCAGCCGTCGTGTGCGCTGATTGCGCACCCACCGACCTTCTGTCGCCGGCACGCTGCTGCGCACGCACTCCAATGCTCAACGCCCTGTACGTCTGCTGCGCCCAGGCAAGATTGCCAAGCGAGACCACCCTGTTGCATCTGGCGGGGAGCCGACGACACCCACAAAGCGCAGCAAGGCAGCAGAGGAGGAGTTGGGCGCTCCTCCCCCGCCCAAGCAGGAGGAGCAGAAGCAGCCGCAAGAGCAGACTCTGGAGCAGCAGGAGGAGAAGCAGCAGCCCGAGGCGAAGCAGGGGGAGCAGCAGGAGCAGGAGCAGCAGCAGCAGCCACAGCAGCACGACGCTGATGGCGACACGGCAATGGACGAGGGCACTGCAGGCGCTCCATCCGCAGACGCCGCGCCCGGCGAGCCGCAGGGCGAGCAGCAAGACGCGAAGCCCAAGCGCGCCGCCAAGCCGCCCCACCCCACGTACGACGACGCCCATACCGTGTTTGTGAGGGGCATGGGCCGGGAGGTCACGGAGGCCGACCTGCGGCAGCTGTTTGCCGACGTGCCCGGGCTCAAGGACATCCGCCTGGCGCTGGACCGCTACGACAAGTCCCCACGGGTGCGCAGCGCCAGGGCGGCGGCCTGGTCGGGCCGAGGCAGGCCCGAGGCCCCGCGCTGCAGCGGGGCAAGCCGCTGCACGCAGCCTGCTCTGCCTGCGCAGCCTCCGCATGTACCCGCGCCAAGTAGCGGCCGAGCAACCTGCTGGTGGGTCTACGCAGCTTGCTTCGCCACGGGCTCAGCATGAAACCAGCATGAAAGCTCGCATCGCCGCCACCCTTTCGCAGGGCTTTGCATATGCCGAGTTTGAGGGCCTCGAGGGCGTGTGCGCGGCCGTGGCGCTCAGCGGCACCAGCATCAAGGGCCGCTCGCTGCACATCCTGAGGTCGCGGCCGCCGCGCGCGGCCGACGCGGCGGACCACACCGCCTTCATCAAGGGGCTGGGCGAGGGCGTGGGGGAGGCGGAGCTGCGGCAGCTGCTGGGCGACGCGCCGGGCGGCATCAGGGACGTGCGCCTGCCCAAGGACGAGACGGGGGCCTTCAAGGTGGGCGGCGGGGCAGTGGGGTGGCTGCTGCTTGTGACTGGCAGCGTGCGGCACTGATTGCGGCATGCCGTCGTGCATGGCGATAGTTTCACATGCAGCTGCACATACACGGACGCGTGGCGCACCGGCTCACAAGCACATGCACTCACCCACATGCATTTTATCTTCACAGGCACTTGCATGCACACGCATGCACATGCGCGCACACACACACACACACCCACACACACCCACACACACACTCGTTTACACACACATGCATCCTGTGAACATCAAACATGCAATGCGCAGGGTTTTGCTTATGTCGAGTTTGAGACGGATGAGGGCCTTCAGCACGCCGTGGCCAAGCATGGGACCGAGGTCAATGGGCAGCAGCTGCTCATTGCCAAGTCAGCACCCCCCCGCGGCGGCGCGAGGGGCGGCCGCACGCACCATGTGGCTGGCAGGCGCGGCGGCGGGCGGGGCAGAGGCGGCGGCGGTCGCGGCGCCGGCGGCGGCGGAGACGCGACCATGGAGGAGGGCGGCGGCGGCGACGCGGGCGGCGCGGGCGACGAGGGCGGCGAGGGCGGCTGGAGCGTGCAAGGCGGGCGCGGACGCGGGCGCGGCGGCGCGAGGGGCCGCGGCCGCGGCAGGGGCGGCCGCAGCATGGGGCTGCCGTACGTGCCCGTCAGCGGGGGGCGCGGCAGCGGGGGCCACCAGCGTGACGCGGTGCAGGTGGAGGGTGGGCACACGCGCGTGCGCAACCCGCGCGTGATGCCGCGCGCGGCCGGCGGTGCGCAGCAGGGCGGGGCGGACGCGGTGGGCGGCGACGGCAAGGCCAAGTCCAATGATGAGTTCCGGCAGATGCTGCTGGTGGAGGGCAAGTAACCAGTGCATTCCGCGGCGCGGCGGCCGGGCAGCGGACACTTTGTGGTGGTTGCTGTGAGTGTCCCGCGGTTTGGTTTCGCATGTCTTTGCGCCGCCGAGGTTTTGCACGGCACAGGGGCATGGCATCTGCCTGCTGTACCTAGGGGGCTTTGTGGGCCCCGAGTAACTTTGGTTTGCTGCCTGCGAATGAGCTAACCTCCACTTGACATGGAGCAGGCAAACAGCATGGGGATCATCGAAGCTCGTATGCTTTGGCAGCATGTTTGTGATTGGCATGCATGCAGGCCAAGGGTCCGTCTGCAGCATCCGCCTGGGGCGTGTCACCAGCAGGGGCGGCCGGCAGGCGGTTAGCAGGTGGGGCGGCCATGGAATGCACACGCACATATGTGTCGACGACACCACTGCGACTTGGAATTGTCATCATTTCGCTTCCAGGCGGTGGCTGCAAGTGTGAGCCCTGCTATCCCTGTCCATGTGACCAAGTTGGTGGCCGACCACCGGAGCCTCATAGCTTTGCGACGTGCATGCAGGCCGAGCGTTGCTTGTTAGATTCTTCGGTCTTCTTGGTGGAAATATCTTTCAGGCGACCCGTATAACTCTCAACAGAGCCCGTGTGGGCCGCGGTCACTTCACGTCGCCTCCGACGAACAAGCTCAAACACCATCATTTTCCTCAATCTTCGCGCTTTTTGAATTCCAGGGTGGTTTATAGGTGACGCCACTCCGAGGCATTCAGGCCCAATCAACGGGTCCCCGTCGTCCCGCCCCTTCCATCTCACTTCAAGTCATCTAAGCTTAAAGCCTACAGAGTCACTCAAATCACTAATGTTGCGGCACGGCGCACGGCATGCCTGCTGCGACACCAGCAAGGGCAGCGGGTTGCAGACCACCTGCCCCGCTGATGCTCGCCGGCGTGGTGACATGGATGAGCTCTCGCGCCTGTTCCCGGACTGCTCCCCAGGTGCGGTTGGCATGGCAGGTCAGAAAGATGCCTGAATGTACTGCTGCAAGGTTGCAGCAAGGTTGCACGTGTTGCACACCCCCGAAGAGGTTGTTGCTGCTGAAGCAGACAGTGACACAAACCTGATTTCCTCAATTATCATACACCTGACATGTCCACATTCAGGCGAGCTGTTCGATGCTTACGAGAGCTCGGGCTGTCATTTTGGCCGCACGAGGGAGCTGTTGCAGCTAGTACAGCAGGAGCAGGTGGGTCTCGAGAGAGGAAGGATGTCCCGCGGCGGCAGCCACTCTGCGCATTGAGGTGGCGCGTGGACGCGCGCAGCAAACAAAACGAGCGCAGCAGCTCCAGGTCGACCTTGCATGCAGAGCCTGGCTTGTCCTCTGTTGAGATCAAAATTGATGCGACATCCATGCAGCCCCACAACACCGAATCCATGCTGCATACATCACAACAGGACCTCGTGCTGCACACGGGCACCCTTGACCTGCCCCTAACTAGCGGTGGGGACAGCAGCTGGGACCTCAACAGCGCTTCAACGGCGGCTATGGCCTGGATCACATCCATTGGCTATGCAGTCGCAGCCGTGGCCGCTGAGGTGCTCGATGATTACGGCGGCGATGCACCTGCCTATGGTGGCGGCAGGTGGGACGGATGGGGTGCAACCAAGTGCCGCGGATGCACCGACGCAGCACACCACAGCCCTCACTCAGCAGCCCGTTTGTGCACGCACTAGCCAGGAACATCGACTTGGATCACTATGAAGTGGAATGTGAGGACAGGTTTGCCGTTATCTCGGCCATGCCATCTTAACCTTCACGCCACCATTACCTTGATGGACTTCCGCCCCGGCAACCCCCCAGGGATAGGCAGCCAGCAGTGAGCAAAAGCCCTCTAGACAGGGACATCAGCGGCAGCTCAGGCGGCTCTGGGCGCCGCTGCCCGCATCACAATCAGGACTCTGTGGACGGCAGCGGTGGCGACCAGGACGCGAGCCGGGGTTGGGGAGGCGGCAACAGCGGCGCCTCTGGCGGCTTGGGGGCGACGGGGCTGGCGTTGCGGCCTCGCACCGGCGGTATGGGCAGGTCAAGCCGCTCTGACTGAACACGCCAGGTGGCTGCTGGGACAGCGCCTCCACGCGCGCTGGTCAAAATGAATGCCTGCCAGCAGGCTGGCCTTTTGACTGCCATAGGCCTAGGCCGTGCAACGTTTGCCAGCGGGGCACAACCGCCTGAAAGGGTTTGAACCGCCTCCTGATGGAGTTCATCACAACGTCATGCGGCCATGTGGGCCAGAACCACCCAGTGCAGGCTGATGTGCGCGCTTGATAAGGTGACAGGTGGTTATGGTAGCTACATTTTATACGATTACTTTGACCACTGTGATGGCTGCCCAGCTGGGGGCTAGTTCATGTGGTATTGGGAGCGCTGAGCTTACTCACACGGGCCCCTTGGGAGCGGCGTTGGTGTAGCACTTGAAATCGCAAGCACACACGCACTGCTTGTTGTTGGCATGTACCAGCCCAGCCACACACAGCACCCGCATGTGCAGCGGGCTGAGATTGCACCTAGAACATTGGCGCCCTTGTCACCGGCCCATTTGTAGGACAGTGCAGCTGCATGCGTGCCACGATCGAGTGCTGGCCAGGAGACTCGGACAGCAACATCGCAATTCAATCTATTTGCCATCATGGTGACTGCATGAGCTGCTGCCTACTGTCTCCTTGCACACACTGGCCATCCAATAGGCACGCGCTGCCTCTCCTGGCTTACACAAGCCGTAGCATGTGGCCATGTGCCCACCAGCAGCGGCACACACCAGCAGCACAATCACGCACTCGTACTCTTGCTTGCCTTCATGTCGTGTGAATGTTGGCCCGAATGTGCAAGGCGTGCTGTTGATGGGTATTACTTGGCCATTTGTATGCAGGGCCCATATGTTGAAACCACTATCATCAAATGCGAGCATGCGGAGGGCAGTTGCGAATGATGCATACAACTTCAGTCAGATGATTCAGTCACGACAGGTCAATTGCAAGCAGCTTGCTTGGGGTTATCCCACCATCAAGCACGCGGCATAATCAGTCCTCAGCGGTGCTGACCCCGGTGGCCCCGGCGGCGCCACCATTGTCGCGGCCGCCGGTGCCGCCTCCGTTGCCGCCGCCGGCCAAGCTATTGCTACTACTGCTGCTAGTGTCGGGTACTCGGGAGTCGTAAGTGAATGTGACAGGCCCATCTGCACCTCGCCGCCAGCCGTGACACAGGTTAGAAGAGTTGTGCAGTTGGTGGAACGTCACAGATGATGATAGCAACATCTCCAAGCCATTCTGTGAGCTCCCCCCACGCTTGGCAGACAACAGGCACGCACACAACCACACACACACACACACACACACACACACACGTACACACGCTCGCGCGCGTGCACGGCCACACAAGTGAGCGTGCAGAGCATGCGCACACTCAGGCACTCGAACACACACGCGCGAGCACACAGACACGCACGAAGTCTCACATGCATCCTCGCAGCCACATATAGAGGTGCACCCACGCGCCCACGGAACCCTCGCTTCGCGTCTCCTCGGCATACGCGCCCTTGACCCAAACCCCTGGTCTCCCATCACCCAAGATCCGCACCGTTGACCAGCGCGACCTGCATCATGGCGCCAAAGCGGCCGTCCTTCACGCGGTCTTCCGAATACATGGAGCGCACCAGGGCCAGGAAGCCCGCGTAGAACTCACGCGCCGCCTCAGGGCCCATGGCTTTGCTGCGGAGGGTGTTGTGAGGGGAAACGCGCGTGCATGCAAAAAGGTGTGTGCGTGTGCGAGTGAGCGCAGGGGTCGCACGCGTGTGCATGTGTGTGTGGGGGGGGGGATGTGTGCCGGCGTGCCTGCGGTTGTGGGTGTGCGCTTGTGGGTGCGGGGTAGGGGGTAGGGGCAAGCTCAGTGCGCGTGTGCGGATGTTCTGGGAGCGCCATGGGTTCGTACGCAGACAACGGCATACACATGCTACAATGCCGCCCTTAGTGCATCGTTTTTGGCAGCCACCGTGCCCCATTGGCCTCACTGCAGGAAACATACCAACCATCAGGGGTGGGCTGCCGACCTCCCCCTCGCCCCGGCCCCTCTACAACGGGCGGCATACGAGCATGCGCGTGCCCCCCCCCCCC